CATACGGACAGGCGCGCATGCCTGCGTGCGCGCGTGTGTGTGTGTGCCCGCGCTCCGTGATCGACTTACAAACAGCCGCCATCCACCAATGATAACGGACATGCACACAGAAACAGTCAACACTTTCATTAAGTATACAGATTGTCACTCGTTGAGAAGCGGACCAATTGATGTCAATCTGAAAAATTGATGGTATCTAGGACAGACTAAAATCTAGGTGGACAAATTTTGAAAGCCAGTCAACTTGGGGAAATGTTGACTCGCCAGCAATAATGTTAACATCGAAAGCAGACTCTGAGTTCAGTTTAAATATTTCATCAAATTTTACATAATCTTTGGATGATGAATTAGGAGGACTTTGCATTCAGCAATTGAATTTTTTTGGGCAAGAGGGTAAAATATGCAAAGCAGTAATGTATTTATTTATTTCCAGTTTAAAAATTGGGTTAATTGGTAAAGCACATCTTGGGCGCCTTCCCAATCGCATTTTGCCGGGGCGAGAGGGTAAAGTATGCAAAGCAGTGTGTTAGTTAGACCATCGCAACCGAAGATGTCCACCATTTGCCCGAGAGTGGGGACGGTGACTACGGCTAGGTATAGTGAAAGTAGAGTGGCCGCCATATCTACCCCACTCTAAACCTCCACCCCGTGTGAGAACGGTGACAAGTCAAATTTGAGATGACCGTGCAGGGGATCAGGCGTAAGCCGCTTTCTCCAGATGCAGCCAGAAACACCGCCTAACTTAGCCTTTAGTAGCAGTAGACTTTGCGCGGGTACTACTGCACTGTCTACCCTCACTTACCTATAGTAGGTGTCTAGCCAGACTTTAGTAAGCCAGGACTGGTACTGCTACCACCAATACTGCTACTTCTAATAATACTTACTAGGGTGTAGCTGAGTGATAGTGTTTGCTGGTATTGTTACTGACTGTTTAATAAGTCAGAAAAGACGCTCATTAAAGTCCGCACTGGGCTCAGTTCCGCTCAATCTCGGCAAGCAGCGTTGTAGTACTGGTGCTGGCACTGACACCCCCATTCGTCAGAGGTGACGCTGATTAAGCCAACGCTAGGGCTCGTATTCCCTTGGTCTCAACAAGGAGTGTGAATCTGGGTTTAAAGTATTTCGAGTAAGTAAATGCTTGGGTCCTGTGCATAGCAGTGCCTACCTTGGCTTCCGAACTCTCCACTCTATCCATCGAGCTATGTACTTTTCTGTTAGGTACGGGCTAAACGAGCTGCTTCTATAGGTACGCGCCTATGCTAATCGCGCTAGATCCTAGTAATCATGCTTACTAAGGCCAGTAGATAGTATGCTATAAATACTGTCTATGTGTTTTTTAAGAAGTCGCACTCAGAATGTGCTCCCAATCTGTGAGAGGTAATAGTGATTGGCATTTGGATAATAATAGAGCGTTTGTAAAGTAATGCGCAAGTCCTACCATGCCCTTGTGTCGAGCAGTTTGCCGTCTATAGACTGCAGTTAGGCTTGTTACAGTATAA